CTAATAATAAATCCCCCCACCCCCCTAATAATAAATATTCCCAATATATTATAGTATACCATATTTGGGGAGTATTTATTATTAGGGGGGTGGGGGGGTTTATTATTAGGGGGAGGGGATTATAAGGTTCGAGCCCGGTCCCTACATTTTACCTTTCACACTCCCTGCGTGACCCCAAGTGCACAGGGCTCCCTGGGTTTAGAGTTTAGGGTTTAAGGATTTGGGTTTGGGATTTAAGGTTTAGGGTTTGAAGGTCCCAATATAGGATTACAATCCCAAAGGTTTAGGGATATATTGGTTTAAGGCGTAGGGTATCGGGTCTCCGAAAATTAGGGGCCCAAGTTTGCGGAGAGGCTATTGGACTCTAAATTGGGGTTGCTTATCTATCGAAACTCCAATCTTCGGGTCGTGCAGGATCGTGTCGAAACATGTTCCCGTCATAAACCCTGAACCCGCTCAGTTCAATGCCTAAGGCTGACCTTCGTGGAGGTCCATGGGACGTAGTAACTATTTACAACTGGGCTATCCCCCTCTACAAGCATAAGACGGTTCTAGGTAGGGTTACAAGTTGTAGTTACTAAATCCCAAATAATTAGCCTAAACCCTAAACCTCACATGCTACCACTGAATCTACCACGGGGTCCACGAACGCCATGGTCAACATCCACCTTCCCGCTAAGACACAGGCACCCTAAACCCTGAACCCTACTGCAAGCCCTGAATCCTGAACCCGACATCCGAAACCAAAGCCCTTGACCCTAAACCCTAAATCCTAAATCCTGCATCCTAAACACCTAACAGCTGCAAGGCGCGAATCCCACGTCGAAAGCCATCTCTTCCATCATGCCGCCTGTTTTACTGCTTCTTAGTAGGGAAAATGAGAATGTAATCCATATACATATGCATACATACATATATATATATTTGTATGTTTAGGATTTGGGGTTTAGGGCAGGAAATATGGGAATGCAATCCAAATATGATCTCTATATGAGCCCTGGTCTAATATCCCCCTTACTAACCCCGTAGTAGTCCCCTAGATAATCCCCTATACAACCCCCTTTAAGAAGTTTAGACTAAGGCTCATATCATGTATTTATAGCCCTAAACCCTAAACCCTACCTAAAGCCTAAACCCTAAACCATTATTCTCTACTAAGCCCTAGTAAGCTGTTGAGCTATAGAGTTGGGGCTATGCGGTTTGGAGGTTTAGGGCTTAAGGCTTGGGATTTAGGGCTTAAGATGTAGGATTTAAGGTTTAGGGATCAGAGATTTAACGGTTTAGGGGCTAAAAGGGTTCAGAGTTTAAGGCTTAGGATTTAGCAGTTTACGGGCTTCGGGTTTAGGGAGTTTGGAGTTAGGGCTTTGGGATTTCATCCCTGGGGCCCAACCTAAAGACCCTGTTTTGAAACGACAGCAGT